GAGCATGGGTCTGCAGAGAGCATTTCTCCGCGATCCCAACTTAGCAGCCCAAAAAACGTTTACCCATTTAACAGTCGTGGTCGATACCTTGTTTGTTTTAAACATCATAAATACACAAACAACAATGAATACTTACAGGTTGTGTATCCGAATCTCCCGCTGGTCCAAACAAAGTAGGAACAGCATCGTTCTTCAGTGCCCTACGCTGTACATATCCGGCATGAATCGCTGAAAGGTTTGGGAAGCTTTGTTTCGTGAAAGGCTGGCAGAGGGTGCGGCCATAGCTCTGGGCGTGGCTACTGGGTATCCCTACATAGCAATACCCAGGAAGTAAATGAGAAATCTCCAACGAGGCGTTTTGGGGAGGTATTTTCTGTGTTAGGGTTTTACTCCCTACAGGGTGTACTTTGAGGGTTTTTGACTCTGCAGACCGTTTACATGCATAAAAACCTTCATAACACACAAGGGGACGGATAATAACCGGAAAAGCATGACATGGGACCTTTAATATTCTACCAGGTGCAAAAGTGTTGCACACTTCAAAGTGTATCTAAAAGTATCTTAGTAACACAAATAAAGCAAAAAGCATTAATGTTAACATAGCCTCAAATGGCTGACTCCTGAACTCCGTAATGTCCCCCTAACATGGCACTTAGACTATTTACATAATCCAAGGAAACACACCAGTAAATACACCTCTCTTTGTCCGCTCTTCAAGCCTCAAAGGGCGGACTCATGAGCTCCGTAATGTCCCCCTAACATGGCACTTAGACTATTTCCATCATCCAGGGATCAACACCAGTAAATACACCTCTCTTTGTCCGCTCCAAGAGCCTTAAAGGGCGGACTCATGAGCTCCGTAATGTCCCCCTAACATGGCACTTAGACTGTTTCCATCATCCAGGGAAACACAACTTCAAAGGGGCTTCCTTCTAGTTAATAAACTAATTAAACAATAAAATGTCATATAACCTTATATTACCACAAAAGAGTCAATAAGTAATATTAACCCACTGTTAAAGAACATTACCTTATAGAGGGCATTACAAGCACCACAGGTGACCGAAACAAGTCATACTATCATCAATGACTATAATAGCTTACTAGGGGGATACTACAACAGGTGTCACATCAAAGGGGCCATAGTCTTATCACCCCTTATTGAGCAACATCCTTCTGAGTGCGCTATAAAACAGCTAAACAAGTCATACTATCATCATTAACTATATTGGTTTTATCATTGACAAATAATGACCTATTAAGGACACTCTAACAGGTTTCACATCAAAAGGGTAATAAAGTTGTGCAACATCCTTTATGAGGGGCAATAAAACAATAAACATACAAGTCATAAAAGATAAAAGGGTCAAAGGTCAGATATGTAAAGTCTTATCACCCCCCATCTATTGTGCAACATCCTTTATGAGGGGGCAATAAAACAATAAACAAACAAGTCATAAAAGATAAGAGGGTCAAAGGTCAGATGTCAGAGTGACAGGTGCCACATCAGAGGGATTTGGAGGCGGGACTAAGGTTGATGAGGGTCATAAATCACTCTCTTATCAGGTACTTAATCTAATTTGGAAAAATACAGTTGTCTCACACTCACACTATTACATGGCTTTCTTAAACCCTCCTGTTATATTCGTTTTTTGTAACAGCAATAATATCCGTGCGGTCAATTTGAACCAGTGCATGTTTAATTATCCAAAAATGGTCAGAAGCCCCAAAATCCAGATTTATTTTATTATTATATTTAGTGCAATTGTGTTATTCACCTCTCACAGATCATGGTTCCATTAGAATAAGTCACTTGTTTTTCACAAAACAAACACATTTTTTTTACATTGGAAAAACCGTGATATAAAATACATTAGTTTTGCATGACATAACATTTTTTAAATTACTTTTAAAATGTTCCAACTTTTTTTCCAATTGGTTGATGTTGATACATTTCACGTGTTTGTGTGTGTGTGTGTGTGTGTGTGTGTGTGTGTGTGTGTGTGTGTGTGTGTGTGTGTGTGTGTGTGTGTGTGTGTGTGTGTGTGTGTGTGTGTGTGTGTGTGTGTATTTCTGACCCCTTTTAGCCTCCACTTTCACTGCCAGGTCAGATTGACCCGAATACCATCTCTGTGATATAGACATGTAGGGGGGGGGGTTCCAAATGCATGACATGAACCATTTTCATTTTACTTGTTTATTGCACTAATTAAGGTAAGTAGAAGAAGTTTCATACAAAAAAAATACTTGAAAGTATTTTTCGTAGATTTTCAAACTTTCAAACGGGTCAATTTGACCCTGAATGTAACAGGAGGGTTACATATAATGATGGTCAGTTTATTTTATTTTAAAAGTTTCATCATAAATAAAACCAAGCCCAATCCTATCAATCCACTTTGGCTAAACTGTTCCCAGAAAATAGAAGAAAAGTGGTCAAGAAAACAGCTGGGAAAAACCAAAAGAGCACATAAAGAGCTGGGCAACTGAGTAATGAACAAAATTACAGAATACAGACAGGAAACAGGACAGTTTGGGCCATGGCAGTGATTGAAGACTGGTCAATTAAAAAGAAGGTTCCCAAACTTTGGGAGCAATCAATGCTGCCATCATTTTATTTATTTGAGCATTTATTATTCATCTGTTCAAAATTCAAACTGTAAAATGTACTTGATTGCAAAATCAAAAGCAATAAAGTTACACTGCTATGGACTCAGTTCTAAGCAAAAAATCCACCAGAGAATGTATTCTTTGTGGAAGGAGTGCAACAATTTAAAATAAATTACATAATTGTTAAATCAATCCGTTGCTGTTAACGTGATGATCTATTTTTATTAGCTATGTAACAACATGGTTAATGGACAGACAGCCAGTCATTATTGCGAAATTAACCCTGATCAGCAGCAGTTCTTACATTTAATGCATGTCTGTGTGTGTCATCAAGTAAAAATGTGCTCCTGAAGACACCTATTTTAGCTGGAACTACCACAGACTCGGAGTAATTATATTTCCATATTTACACCTTTGTTGAGTTCCTGTTGGACAGCTGTGTGTCATGCTTACTTGGATATCTCCTTTATCTCTCACTGCTCAAGGAAATAGCTTGGGAAAATAAACATCACCTCATGTTTAACCAGTTTTAGATCCTCAGTGTATGTAAGTTCCAGTATACACTGCCATTAAATGTCTGTGACTGCAAGTCATAAACTGATTCATCATGAACTGTGGGCTCCATCAGATCAAAGTTTATGTTAGGTGCCACACTTGGTAAGACAATAGCCAATATAAACTGTTTTAATTTTCCAGGAAATGCGAGATATTACTGTCTCGGCCAGCTTAAGGGAAGTACAAAGAAAAGAGCTGATTGATTTACCGTATGAGATGACTAAACACAAATAAGGAAGTCAATTCTTCATAGGTCACACATCTTAAAGATTAGTTCATCTGCAGAGGGAAACTGATTTCCTCTTAGATCAATCTCACATAACTTTGCCCCATGCTAATTCGTTTTTACTTCCCTAATGAGGCAGTCACGCTCACCTGACACGTGCTGCTTAAAAGTAAAAAAACTTGTAAAAAATCTGCTAATAGAACAAGTGAAAATTAGCTTGGTAAGATTTTTTGAAATAAGAAGGGATATTTAGATAAATGAGGTCTTGTAATTAGCTGGGAGAACTTATTTTGAACTATATTTTACCAGAATCAGGAAATGTTGTTACAATATAAGCCGCAAATGCTCAAAAGTTTTCAGTTTTCTGATGTTAGTTGGTAATTTTGTAATACATATGTAAAAAATGATGTGTTTCATCTGAGATACAACTCAAAATAAGATGTTTTGACTTAACAAGATGATGCATTGTCTAAAAACAAGACCCTATATCTCACTGCAGTGTTACTTCTGGAGTTATTATGTCTTATATCAGGTGTAGAGACATATTCTGACTAGATATTAGACAAATATACTTGGCAAGATTTCGAGTTTTTGTAGTGTAACTAAGTACATTTACTCAAGTACTGTACTCAAGTACAGTTTTGAGATAATTGTACTTTACTTGAGTATTTCCATTTTATGCTACTTTATGCTTCTACTCCACTACAATTCAGAGGTAAATTGTGTACTTTTACTGCACTACATTTATTTAATACCTTTAGTTACTTTACAGATTTGGATTAATCATGAAATATAATCAACACTTAAATCAGACTTTAGTTCCACCTGGAGTAAATTCACAAGCTACCCTTCAGTATACAAAGTCATTAAAACTAGCTGCACCTTTACCAGCTTTGATAACACTTTAATGATCAATATTTATAATCAAAATATATGAAATATATTATTCTGAAATGGACCAATCCGCAGAACGAGTAGTTTTACATTTGGTCCTTCAAGTATATTTTGATGTTAATACTTTTGCACTTTTAATTTAATACATTTTGAATGCAGGACTTTGACTTGTAACAGTGTATTCCTACACTCAGGGACTTTTACTTCAGTACAAGATCTGAGTACTTCTCCCACCTCTGATAATATGAAATAAAAACAACAAATAAATCATAATGTATTAGGATGGATTAAGGTAAAACCTATGGTGGGGAATTAACAAGCCACCCATAGATAAAGTGTGTAACATTGTTATAAAAATGTTAAATTAGCTCCACTGTTACCAGCTTTAACCTGAAACTGAATAACACACAATGAATCAACAGGGCCATAATTCAATACTAAAATACAAATTCCTCTGAAATGATACCATTCTCTATAAGTAGTGCTTTTTCTTTTGGTACTTTAAGTAAAAGTTGAAGATAATACTTTTGTATTTTAACTTAATAAGAAAGAAATACTTCACAGAGCATAATTTCTGACACTGAAGTAATGCAAGTTGCTACTTGTATTTAAAGTCAACATCTGTGTACCTTTATCCGGACTGAAGAAAGCTGGAACAAAAATGGGGAGTGGCGTTCTAAGGAATATCTCTCAGACAGGTGCAGATGTCACAGTAGGTATTTAAGTTAACACACATCACAACCAGCACCCATTTGCGAACAGAAAGGAATGAGGGATGGAGAGCGACAGAGATATTCACAAGTAAGTTCACACACTATCATTATTATTTGTATTTGTTTTTTATACTTCAGTTATATAAGATCATTTCTAGCAATCATCAATCATTTTATATATGAAATAATGTCAAATTATGAATGATCAAAAAGCCAGTACTTCTGTAGTTGCAGTTATTTATATTTCATGTTAGTTAAATAAGGTAATTTAGTTACGCACTTATTCAAGCAGAAAGGGGTTCTTATTTAAAAAACCATATATCATGAATTATTTATTATATATGTATTAATTATTATGAATAAGTAGTTTAAAGCATAGTAGTAGATATGTATTCAACGCTTCTTCTTTTTCTTCATCATTATTATTTGATTAAATTCAAACTGTGTTATGTCATATTTAAATTTATTTCAGTTTGTCATTAACTGGTGTGGGTTAGAGATTCAAGTCATCTTTTTTTTTTTTCAATGTATTGAACATGTTAAAAACAAAACACATAAAATAAAAGAAAAAAGAAAAATATTAATAAAAAGTATGAAAAATAACAAAATACCTTGGGGTTTTCAAAGTGTGGGAAGGTGAGCCTCCCCTCAGAGAACATAAGAACAGCCGCGCCCCCCCTCCCAATTATTATTGCTATTATTATTATTATTATTATTATTATTATTGTTGTTGTTGCTATGATGCAGGGTTCTATTTCGTATATGGCTTCGCCCTCTAAGGCTATCGCTATTGGGTAATCCCCCTGCGCACCCGTGCAGCACTGAAACACTTGTAGTCCACGCCCGCCCGCAAGGTGGGCCCCACCCTCGGGCTCCCTTCCGGTATAAATAGGAAGGAGGCCCGACAATCTGCTCCCTCTTTTCTTCAGCACCCCGTTACTGAAGCACAAGAGACACTTTCATTAACAGAGCAATCATGAGCAGCAATTGTGTGAGAGATTGTCCCTCATGTGGCTCTGGATACATTATGAGTTACGACCAGCACACGATGTGCGAATCCTGCCTGGGGCCAGAGCACGCGTACGCGGCTCTCAGCCAGCAGGTCGCATGCACACACTGTGCCCGTCTCCCCTCGGACGACAGGAAGCGAAGAGCGGACGCTCTTGCTGCTGCGGCCGAGGAGGACGATTGGCCCGTCCAGGCTTTCGAGCCCGTGGACGGCGGCCTCATGTCCCTGGAGCCGAGTGCCGGGCAGGTGTCGGACGACTCCTACCCTGCCTCCCTCCACGGTTCACCGTACGGTTCTTTGGGGTGAGACAGAGTCTCCCAGGGACCAGTATGTCGCCCGCCAGGCCGACCGGGTGCACCAGTGTGCCTTTCAGGCGTCGGCGGCGGCGAACAACATCGCGCTGCTCTCAAACTCGGTGGTGACGCTGGTGGAGCGGTCCACCACCTTGGCCGCTGATGAATTGGAGGAGATCAGCAAGGCGGCCAGCACGGTGCTCACACTGTGCGCGTCCGTCGCTGTCTCCCAGGCGAGGATCGCCGCGTGGGTGACGCAGATTCAGCGCCACCTCTGGCTGCAGCAGGCGTCACTTACGGAGACGGCCAGGAAGGTGCTTCTGGACGCTCCAATCAGCCCGGACGGGCTCTTTTTGGTGTGAACGTGACATAAGGGGTACTAACGGAACTAAACGGGGAAAGTACGGGGAAAAGTACTCCGGTGTGAACTCGCCTAATGACACTGGTAGCGATCGGACAAAATGAGTGTTGTTCAGTTTGTGTGTTGTGGAACATGCGTGAACGTGCATGCAAATATACCAACCACACACCCAATTACAATTGCATGTTCAATTCACTACACTGGAAGTTAATAAAGTTGTTAAAGTTGGAACAGCCTGTGGACAGCCGTTCTTCCTTGCATGTCAGTCGCCGACACCTTCTTACAGAGGACAGGCAAATCTAGCTGCAGCACGACCCGTATATTTTCGCAAGCCGTGTTTTCAACACATATTTTTTTAACATTTTTAACATTTTCAACATCGTGGATAAATCCTTATATGCTCCCAGCAACACACTGAACGTCAACTTTGCCTCCTTATTACACTCACCCCTACTTTAGTGGGAACAATGAGTCTGCGTATTTGATGCACACAGGATTAAACGCAGATCATCCTCTGGCTGCAGCCTTGACCGACACTTGCATTAGATCAAAGTCAATGCGGAAAACCCGCACTCACACAGGTAGGTTGAGGTGAAGGGAATGAGCACTTTTACAGCCTTTTTGGCAAGGTGGGGGAACTCGGTTTCCACAGACAGCCAAAAGTGTGCAAGTGTCACACTCACTTTACTCATCTTTTTCTCGTTATTGTTTTTCTCACGCTGCGCCTCCCCTGAAGCTCTCTGGCGCCCCCCAGGGGAGGCGCGCCTCACACTTTGAAACCCCCTGCCGTATAAGATAAAAAAAATAAAACTATTTGAGTATTTATTGGTATACTTTGTAAATTCTGTAAATCTTCTGTTTTGAATGTTATTATAATTACTTGATATATTTGCAATTGTTACTGTATATTTTTTATTTTTAATTTCCTACTTCAGACTTTGACATTGTGATGTTTTAATTTAGGAGTCCGTGGGATACAGCTCGAGATGTTCCCGACATTGAAGATATACAGACGCCATGGAAGCTGATCAAAATACTAAAGTTCATCTCTTTGTGGGTCGTCGCTTTGTTTGTGTTTGGATTGGCGCTGTGTAGCAAGGTTTGCCATTATCTATTTTTTCATTTTTGACATACTGTGAGAATATAAAGTTCATTTTGGTGTTGTAACTCAACTCATACGGATAATATTAAAGGCATGCAAAATGCACTTTTTTATGTCTTTTATACATAAATATGTGTCCTCGGTGTGTCAGGGAACTCACTAATGGCGCATTTCCACTACACGGCCTCGCTCGGCCTCGCTCGGTATGGCTAGGCCTCGTTAGGCCTTGTTAGGACTGGCTCACTTTATGGCGCATTTCCATTACAGTTTAGGAACTGGGGTAGTATCTATAGTAACGCAGTGTAGGTGGAGCCGTGACGTCATCTTCAATGAGAACCCCAGAAAAACAACATCAGCCGTTAGCTGTTAGCACTCAAGCTCACAGCTCCTCATATCTGTTCAGAAACTAGACAAAAGTTAAACAAGTACAAACCACAGACTGTCTGTGTCATGGCGAATACAGTCGCTGGTTTATTTATGTCTGTATAGGCCGTTGTTGTGAGTCTGGACGGTCGGAGCATATACTGCGTTAGCTTAGCCGATCTCCATTCAGAAAACACGCATTTTCAAAGGTTTTTCTCCTGCCGTCTGTCTGCAGACTTGACAAAGCATTAATTCATGGTTTGTACTAACCGGTATCAGTATGTTGTTACGTCGGTATCATTTTGAAACTTGTATTACAATTAAATCACGGTCAAATATGTTCATCTTGTTGTAGTTGTAGCCCCCTTGCCAGCGATTCTCTCTCTAGTTTAGCATACTCAGCGCGACTCAGCCTGGTTGTTGGCCCGGAAAGAACCTCGATTTTATTGGACCAGAAAAACTGTGAAATAGTACCCGATAGCCGGTACTACGCTAAGTGGAAACGCAACCAAAAACGGGCCCCGCACGGCTCGGCACGCTTAAAGCGAGCTCCGCGCTGTAGTGGAAATGCGCCAAAAGTGTCAGAAAACAAAACCCTCTCTCTTTTCCCCCCGTGCGCACATCTCTAAAAACGGGGGTACAACAGAGCTGATCCAGATTTGCTGCCAACATGACGTTATATCGGAAATGTGGGCTGGCTTTACACCCACGGCCCTATCAGAAACGTTGCTATCAGAAAAAATGCACGACGTGTTTCGGAAGTAATATGGTCTTTGTTTACATTAGCAAGCATCGCTGATGGCCCGTCCACACGGCGGCGTGCGTTGAAGCTTCAAAGCTTCTCCCCATTCACTTTGAATGGGGTGATGACACGCTTTGCCAAACTGCATTGTCGGTTCGCTTTGCTCAAGTTGCTCGCTTCAAAAGTTGAGCAATGTTCAACTTTTGAAGCTTCGACGGAAGCGTCAGCTAATCGAATCATATGCCAGTACAAGCTCTAGCCAATCAAATCGCGTGCTTGTGTGTCCTGGGCGGGAGATTCATGTGATTGGTTGTTGGTCGAGCTTCAGACACGCCCGCCGGCAAGCTTCAACGCACGCCGCCGTGTGGACGCAGCGTAACACTCAGAGCTAACCAGTACTGGAGAGAGTATGTGTAAAAAAGCAGGAAATAAAAAAAGGTACTCACGTTGTGGTAAACCCGCGAGAGAAAAAGCATTTGAGATCCATACTGTTTCAGAAATAATCCTTGATGTGGTTTGGAACATGATATGGCGTTTCATCACGGCACCATTTAGCTGAGTATCTGCCGGTAGAATTCTCCTGCATGAGCAGGCATAAGCTCTGCCCACTCTTTTAATTTTTTTAGAGCTTTATACCCAGAATCAGCACTTTAGTAACAGGGCTGAAATAGAGGGATATGAGGCATGGCTAGAATGGGTGGTCTATTTGATATTTTGAGCAAAACACTTCATAGAGATGTTTTTATATATTTTTATATATCTGAGACCTATAATATATGCCTAAAAATAGCATGATAGGAGACCTTTAAGTTAGGCGCACCAGGCTTTGTCTGTAGAGCAGCTGCCCTCAAGTCACTGTATAAACTAAACGTTTAAATGATTATAACTTTAACTCCGTTCCAGACTTCACTCCTCCTCCTCATCACCTTGTCCAACGAAGGCACAAAAACCCTCCAGGAGGACATGAAACCCATCGCTCTGCTTTGTATCGGCTGTGCTCTCATAACTCCCAGCGTCTTGATAGTTCTTAAAAGTCTCTGGAAGGCATGCTATAAAACATCAAAGCCGCCAAGATTATCAACTGTTGCCCTGGTAAGAACAGTCTCAACATGTCTAAACTTAATTTCATCTTTGACTGATGCCAAACACTGAGTCTGATGGGCATCCTGCCACTTTTCTTTATTGTGTAGTTATTTCTAAATTTCATCTGCTTCTTTTTTTTCAGGTTCTGTTCTTTGAGTTCCTTGTGGCTGGTGGTGCATCGATTCTTACTATTGTGGCAATGCCACATTTGGACATTGTGACCAACGTGACGATCCTGAACGGTGTAGCCGTCTTCTCTGCGCTCTTACAGATTATCACTCAGTGCACCGCCAAAGAAAGGAACCACTCCCTAGTCCCATCCATCACCGCCTTCTTCCTAATTCTGCTTGGTTACATCCTGTTCCTCTACTTGTACCTAACGAAGGATCCTACTGATAAACAGATGGCTATTTGGGTGGGTCTCGCTGTTGGTGGGTCCTTCTTGGTGTCTCTCAACTGGTGGGAGAGCTACTTCAGACTGATCAGCAAGAACAGCAACTCCGTCTTCCTCACGTCGCTGTTGAGAGACATGAAGAAGTGCCAGAACTTACTGAACATCCTCTCCAGCCTGCTCAGGATCGTGGTGACTGCCTCTGTGCTCGGTGCCTATATCCCTTTAAACAAAATGGACTGGAGCATTGTGAAATCAATCCCAAGTCATGAGACAAAGATTATAGCCATCATCATTGGAGTCCAGCTGATCTCCTCTGCACTCTGCCACTGGTTTTCTCTGATAGCCTGCAAGATGCATGCTCTGCGGCGATGCTTCATCCTGCCTCTGTACCTGGCCTCTTTGGCCGTCATGGTTCTGTTCATTGTCCCAGTTATCGTTTACTATCAAGACTACAAAACAGGTCTAAATGGCACTGCAATCAACTTCACAGGCTACTGCAGTGAAGTTGTAGATGGAAGGAACCAAAACCTGACAGGCAGTGTGTTCCAACATCTGGTTTATGATGTTACACACACTCTGTGCTTCCTGGACATGTCCAACATACTTGACATTGGCCTACTGACAGGTAATAAATTAGACCCTGGTGTAAGATACTTTGTATTCTTGCACATTTAAAACAAATAAAGCTATTATAAGTCCTAGTGGCCATGACAAGTCAACCTTGCAAGGCTATTGTGTTAGTTTGTGCTCAACTATTCTATAAACCAAAAAATACAAGTGTTGGGATAATTGTTAAGTTCAAATTTTAAACTAATGTGTTTGTTAATCTTCATTCAGGTTCAGCAGTGTCCTGGTGGCTTGGCCTTGTCTTGGCCACTCTCCATCTGTGGTACCTCAAGGTGTTACGTATCCAGAGGACCCAGGACCTGTTCACCAGGAGGCTGTATGAAGGGACTTTTATAGAGCAGTCCTTGCTCCTCAACACCCGATACGACATCCAGACCAAAAACAGGATGAATATGTAAGTGTGTGTTTTTGGTTGTTGATTCTTCAAATAATCACAAGAATGAAATGTTAGGCTCTTTCATTTAAGCTGTGTTAAACTAACATTGTCTCTCCTCATATTTGCAAATATTGTCACTTGTAGTTCAGGGGCCTTGGATACGGTGATGGTGTATCTGTGCGCGACTATGTGGCACGAAAACTACGATGAGATGATGAACATCATTATCTCAATATTCAGGTATGTTTTTTTCCACTCCTGTTACAATTTTAAATGATCTACAAAATCAAAGTCATTTAGAGCCTCACACTTGGTTGAAAAGACAGAAAAATGTCCTTATTTGTTGCTTTCAAAGGATTTTATTTTCCAAGGTTTTTGTCCTTGAACTAGAGAGTTTTAGTAATGTTCTCTTAACCACAAATATATGCTGTATCAAAGTGGATTTTCTCACACTCCTTTTCTTTATGCTTCTCTGAACACTGCAGACTGGACAAGTATAGACCAAAGTACAATCCTAAGCATATTGATTTAACCTTTGAAGTCCATATCTACTTTGATGATGCATTCGAAAATGTGGAGGGGAGTCGGGGGCGTCACCTCAACACATATGCACAGACCCTTGTGGAAACCCTTGCAGAAGTTTATGCGTAAGAACCAAATTCACAGGTCTAAATACAGCGTATTTATGTATTAGGTATACAAAATGTGTCAAGTAAAAAATGAATATCAATCCTTTTGATTCTCTTTCATCAGCATCTTCACCAGTATCGATCAGGGTTTCTTCAAAAAGAGTCAAAACATTCCCGATCAGAAGATCATTACTACGCCGTATGGGGGTCGTCTGGTTGTCACCATGCCTCATGGGAACATTATCACGGTTCACTATAAAGACAAAGAACTCATCCGCCACAAAAAGAGATGGTCTCAGGTAGGAAAATAATAACTTATAGACCCCATAAGGAACATTAATGTGTATGATTTACAGTTTATATCAGTCCCTTGGAACACTTTTTGATGCCAAATGTTAGAACACTACTTAAATGAATAAACATTTTTTATTTTTTAGATCATGTACCTTTACTATCTTCTGGGCTGGAAACTTATGAGCAAACATTACGCACGCTTGCAGAAGGGAGGGGAAGAGGTCACCCTGAGAGCACAGGTCGAGGTGAGATAAGAGAAACATCTAAAACTTTAGTGGATAGTTTTATTAGATGAGCACAACCGCTCATCAACATTATTTTGAAGTAAAAACTAAATGGAAAACAACTGTTCTGTCAGAAAGAGAAACGCAACACATACATCCTGGCGTTAGATGGGGACACAGACTTCCAACCGGCTGCTGTGATGCTGCTCATTGATCGTCTAAAAATGTACCCAGGTGTCGGGGCAGCCTGTGGCAGGATTCACCCCACTGGATCAGGTTGGAACATTGTACAATTAAGAACAACTAACAGTAACTAGCACCGAATAGATATTTGAGTTTAAGTTTACAATACCTCCATATTTTCCCTACAGGTCCTGCAGTGTGGTTCCAGAAATTTGAGTACGCTGTCAGTCATTGGTTACAGAAGACAGCGGAGCACGTGATTGGCTGTGTGCTATGCAGCCCCGGTTGTTTCAGCCTGTTCAGAGCAGAGGCGCTAATGGATGACAACGTGATGAAGAAATATTCCACCAAGTCCATGGAGGCGAGCAACTACATCCAGTACGACCAAGGTAATAAGTTATAGAGTGGCGAAGTCACGCCCATCTACTTCCGGTCCATGGGACCTTATTTCGGAAGAATTATGCATTGAAGTCAATGGGGAGAGAAAACGTATCTTTCGATCCCGTTTGAATTGTGCCATGAATTACACATATGATGTTTGTCAATCTTAAAAAAACATTTCCATGTCAAAAAAGTCACAGTTTGTCGTAAAACGGTTGAAATATAAGACTATGAAAAATACGCAACTAGAAAGACTACAAATCCCAGAGTCGCGTAAGTGATGTCACAATTGTTTTCCTCCACTAAGAGATAGCTAAGATCAGCGCCATATAGATAGAAGCCATATAGATAGAATCTATCTATATGGCGCTAGCTAAGATAAGATAACTTTAACAAGATGCCTGTGTGCTTAGTACCAGGTTGTTATCATACCAGCAATGGGTCTTGCTCGTTCTTTCGCTTCCCGTCTGATGAAAGGACCAGGAGTGGCTTGATCAAGTTAGCTACATAGCTAGTAGCTAGCACGTTAGTTAGCGTTACAGCCTTGTCATTTTTATTAGCCTTAACATGAAGTAACATTAAGTAACCCAAAATGTTAAACAGTAAGAGTAGTAGTCATATTTCGTGAACCCTTTGAAGAGTACTGTCACACCGGTGTGATCATTCTATAATACACAATTTAAGCCCAGGGGAGAAAGGCTAACGTTAACGCTACATGAGCATCGGCGATCACAAATGGTTGACATTAAACATTAAAAAGACCAGGCATTTCAGAGAGAATCAAAGGAAGGCAGGCAGCTTTGCATGACATTCATAGTGAGGGTAGTCAATCCTTTTTTTGACAAGACGGCCATCTTGGTGACGTGTGTTATTGTGCGAGACCGGAGATGTAGTTCATTGAGCATTTCACACAAACAAATGTGTTACTTCACAGTTTTACGACATATATATTTGTTTTACTTGCAAAATTATCTTTTAAATTGACAAACATCATATGTGTAATTCATGGCACAATTCAAACGGGATCGAAAGATAATCTTTCTCTCTCCATTGACTTCAATACATAATTTTTCCGAAATAAGGTCCCATGGAGGTCCACCGGAAGGGGAGGGACTTCGCCACTCTATTGGATTGGACTTCCTGTCTCTAACTCTTGGTCTTGGTGATATCGTTTGGATCGGTCTTCCCCTCTGACAGGCATATCAATCAATGTATTTTCCGTGCAGGTGAGGACCGCTGGCTGTGTACTCTGCTGCTGAAACAGGGATGGAGAGTGGAGTATAATGCGGCCTCTGATGCCTATACCAACGCACCTGAAGACTTTAAAGAACTCTACAACCAGGTGAATACCTATACATTGTTTATATATTTACACATTAGAATCAAGGGATCTCTTTGGGTAGAGGTTGTCATTGAGACAACATTGTAAAAAACATCCTCCCCTCGGAAAAACCTCCTCCCCTCGGTCATGAACCTTGGAGTGACCTTCACTAGCACTTTTAAATTCGAGAAGCAGGTCAGCACTGTAGTCAAATCCTGCTTTTTTAAAATAAGACTATTGGCCAAAACCAAGTCGTATTTATCTTTTAATGACTTAGAAAGGGTTATTAACGCCTTTGTTACCTCAAGACTGGACTATTGCAACGCTCTGTATGTGGGTATGGACCAGGCCTCAATTAAACGCCTGCAGCTAGTCCAAAACGCAGTTGCACGTTTGCTGACTGGCCACAAAAAGCGTGACCACATCACCCAAATTCTGGCCTCACTCCACTGGCTTCCAGTTCGGTTCAGAATTGATTTTAAAATCCTTTTATTTGTTTTTAAAGCACGAAATGGGCTGGCTCCGGCCTATATAGCTGAACTGCTCCAGCGCTACACCCCAGCCAGAGCTTTAAGGTCTGCTGACCAGCTGCTGCTGGTAGTGCCCAAGACCAGGCTTAAAACCCGAGGGCACCGAGCCTTCGCAGCAGCTGGCCCTAGGCTCTGGAACACTCTGCCCCTCCATGTGAGGTCGGCCCAGACCCTAGGGTTTTTTAAATCTACACTAAAAACACACCTCTTCTCTCTGGCCTTCTAGTTAGAGCGGAGTACGACTCCTGACTTTTCATTGTGTTTTATTTTAATTTTTTATATATATCTGTTGTAATTTATTGTGATTGTAGTAATGTGTTTTTATTACATGTACAGCACTTTGGCTCGACCAAAAATTGCTTTTAAATGTGCTTTATAAATAAAACTTGATTTGATTTGATTTGAGACATAACTCACACCAGTCATCGATAGGAATGGACATGCTAACTACTATATGCACATTTCAGCGAAGGCGATGGGGACCGTCCACAATGGCCAACGTGGTGGATCTGCTGGGATCTACAACCGTGATTTCCAAGAAAAACCCGTCCATTTCCAAACTCTTCATGTTTTACCAGCTCTTTGGCCTCGCCTCATCAATCCTGGCCCCTGCCACCATTTGCCTTATGATTGCAGGTTGGTGTTTTGATGTTTATTCTCTGTATATATTACTTTTTGACCTTTCGAGCAACTGTTCCCTGGACATATGATTGTCTTGTGAATATTAACATTTTATTTAAATGACTAAAAAAGTAAAATGTGTATTGCCTCCTTTTGTGTCCTCCAGGTACTTTTACCTTCATGTTCAGCTTGCATGGCAGCGCTGCCCTGGTTCTGGCTGTGATACCTCCTTTAATCTACCTGATTCTTTGCTTCTACATCAAATCGGACACTCAGATCAAGATTGCAGGCATCATGAGTGTCATATATGCATTCCTCATGTTGGTGGTGTCAATGTCAATTATTGGTAAGTTATATTCTACCAGGTATAACATACACATGTCATGTGTAGCGACTTCATTTGGAACATTCAATTGTAAAAACCCTCCATGACTTCCTCTTTCTCTATAGGCGCGATGGTGAGGGACAAAACCATCCTGACCCCCAGCAGCCTTTTCGTTATTGCCATGGCGATGATTTACATCATCACAGCAATCATGCATCCTCAGGAAATCCAGCTGGTGTTCCACGGTTTACTCTACATCCTCTGCATCCCCAGCGCCTACCTCCTGCTTACCATCTACTCCATGGTCAACATGAACAATGTGTCCTGGGGCACCCGTGAGACAAAACCTGCAGCTGGAGCCGCCAAACCAGAGCCCGCAGCAAAGCAAACCAATGTCCAAAAAGGTAGATACCAGATCCACGAAAATAGTAGTTAATTATCATTCCACTTAAAATGCAATGTTAGATCTATTTTTTTGTTTGGGCTGACTTAACTGAAGCTGATCTTATCCCATACAGCGAAAAACACCTTCCAACAGCACTTCTCTTGGTGCAAATGCTGCAAGAAATCCAACCAGACATCTGGAGGTGGTGTCAACCAGGATAACCTGATCCCTGAGTCCCCACAGCCTGAACTCCAGCCCCAGAACTCTGTTGTGGAGGACGTGAGGATCCCAGAGCAGGAACAGAGGTAAGTCTTGAAGGTGGAACGGCGATTGAAAGGTAAATGTGCCAGGATCACAAAGGGTGAGGTGAGACTAATACTTTCTTTCTGATTGTGTTTCAGGCAGCTGGATCCTGTTTTCGACTCACCTACCCAAAGTGAGTCCAAACTATTTTACAAAGATCTGCATGATCTCTTCCCCAAAACATTCAATATCCCTTGCAAATCGGATATCATGTAATAATCTCCTCCTGTGTTATTCTTCTCTCTAGGTTGGTTGACACAACTACAGAGTGTGTCTCGTGATATGAAGCTGGAGGAGGACTCTCTCGAGAAGGTGTGTACGTCTTGTTTTATCAGGGTAGCACGATCAACTTCCTCCAAATTACATTGTCAAAATGAAGCCTGCATTATTTAGTTTCCAATGCAGGTGAAAACTGAGCTTGATGTGACATTTAGGCCTTTATCATAGTTTTTTGCAGAAATAACATGATCGTTAATTAAAGGGGTCTCTGTGTTTCTCCACAGGAGGAGGAAAGCTTCTGGATAGAGCTTCAGAAGAAATACCTTGAACCTCTGCTTGACGACAAAGAGAGACAGAAAAAGATTGTCAACGACCTGCGAGAACTGAGAAACAAGGTAGGTGTGGGGAGCTGGAATACTGACATCACTGTGCAATTACTCTTAAATGTACCTTATGTATTTAATTACACAGATAAACTTTGCATTCTTCATCGTGAACGCCCTGTGGCTGGTGGCAACATTTACCCTCCAGCTCTATGAAGCCACCTTCTCCATTGAGCTGCCCAAGATCAACCTTGACTTGGAGTATACCGGGGAAAATGTGAAAATCGAACCCATTGGCTTCATGTTCATTCTGGGATTTGCGACATCAGTTATAATCCAGTTCCTAACTATGTTCTACCACAGGTGACTTTAAATTAAATTACCTTGTTTTCCCTCAAAAGGGTTTTGTTAAAAGGATGTATTTTAATCTTCACCTTTCTTTTTTTTCTTCATCCAGAATCAATACTCTGATCCATTATGTGGCCTTTCTGGAGACAGAGACCGTTCAGACAAAATTTGAGACACAAGAACCATACCTGCCAGGCAAAAAGGTATTTACAACTATTGTTTTTTCATATACTACTATTAGACGCAAATATTTAGCATTGGAACAAGAACATTCAATATTCTTTCATCTTTGATTATTAGCAATTTACAAAGTGCTAGTACACACAACTTGGTGGGAAAGCTTAGTGAGGTTGAGCACTGTAATAAGTGATGTTTTCAACATCATGATGCGTCCAAACAACATACAATGCTACTTTTAAAATAGATATTTATCCACACAAAGGACACTATAGTTAAGCTGCTATTAAGAGAAAATAACCTTTAATTGCCATGAAAGACTTATCTTTAATTAATGAAGCAAAATCATTTGAATGATGGGACATACGCTTAAAGTTTGAGAAACCGTCTCGAGATACATTTTTTGTTATATTCCATGGAATGCTCTTAACATCCCGATAGCAATGATTATCTTAAGTGCTTTGACAAAAATTCCATAAAAAAATGTCATCTGTGGAAGCCGTAGTACTGTAAAAAGCACGACCAATCATTTTAGCCGGCCCGGCTAAAATAACTGGATGGCCTACCTGCCTGTCAGCCTTCCATCCAGGGGCGGACTGGCCATCGGGACGTTCGGGACGAATCCCGATGGGCCGGTACTGAAGTGGGCCGGTCGGACGATGTGGGCCGCTCGGATAAGTCACTAGCACCCCCCCCCCCACCCGTCGACAATTTCCTCGCGGTATTTACTTGCGGCACCGAGGTGGGCCGCTCGGATAACTCACTAGCACCCCCCACCCACCCCCGTTGATGATCATTTACCGAGGTGGGCCGGCGGTACCGAAGTGGGCCGGTCGAGAGTCCCGGGCTGATTTGTAGTCCCAGTCCGCCCCTGCTTCCATCTGTGCACAAACTTATCTCGTGCCCTCATTGGTCATGTGCGCGTTCGTGTGTGTTGGAGGAGGGGCTCTATAAGGAAGTGGCAGATTTTCTCCGGTCGTGTATTTTCAAATTCTAGCGATCTCGAGCCGGTTTCTCAAACTTACATACCCTACCTTTAACCACACCCTTATGCGTCTTTTAATTGGACCAGAACAAATAGTTTTACAACCTGCCAGAATTGTTTCAGGTGTGGTGGCAATTAACGGATGTTTCTTTTGTTTTCTTCCAGGTCAGTTCGGTCTCCGAAACTGTCTCCACCTCCAACAACAACTATGACTCAGACTCAGACTCTGATGTGTTTGATGATGATCTTTACACCAGAGATCAAAATGGAGCCACTCCGGTGTAAACACAGACTCTGTCTAAAAAAGTTTATACCACTTTAAAATTACACTATATAGGCTTTACCAAATTGTCTTTAGTTTGTATATATTATTTATGTTTACGTAGTCAGGCACATCTTATTAATGAAGAGCTGTTATTGAAGGCAATTAAACACATTTCATCACAAAGTGATCAACAGATATTCTAGATGAAATGGTTTATAAAATGTTTTTGAACATTTGAATTGAGAGGCAGATAGATCTGTACATCATCGGCATAGCAATGGAAGGGGATGTTTTGTTTTGTGAGAATTGAACCTAGGGGCAGTATGTACAGTAGAAAAAGGATGGGGCCCAGAATAGAGCCTTGGGGAACCCCACAGGTAAGAGGGGCTTTAGCAGAGGAGAAGGCACCTAGCTGCACTGAGAAGCTATACGGTCTGTCAGGTAGGACCTGAACCATGCAAGGTCAGAGCCTGTGATGCCTGCGGACTGTTCAAGCCGCAACAACAGGATGCTATGGTCCACAGTGTTGAAGGCAGCTGTCAGGTCTAACAGCACCAGGACAGCTGGGCTACCTGAATCGGCGGCTAGGAGCAGATCATTAAAAACGTAAGGGCTGTTTCAGTACTGTGCAAAGGTTTGAGGCCAGACTGAAACTTTTCATGAATGCCATGCGTGGTTAAGAAAGACTGCAGCTGGGCATAGACTACTCGCTCTGAAGTTATAATGCACAGCTCTTTGACTTTTGTGTTTTATGCACTGTAATTTGCACTGTATTTTAGAGATGAATTAATTAATGATGAAGACACAATATGAACAATGTGAAGAGCAATGATACTGTTACAAACAAACTAATGAAGTTATTTAAAAGGTGAAAGATGTAAGAGAATGCACACATCTTTATCAAAGAAAAATGTAATCGATTGCACTACATATAATACGGTGAAACTCCTTTTGAAGTTATATTCTGATGGGTAAAAAGGAAGCTGCTGTTAAAATGATGTGTATTATAGGAGGCACAAACACAAATGAGCATTACCAAATATAAGTATATTTTTGAATGAAGAACAAAAAGGTTGAACTAAGTGAAGTAAAACAATTTGTATGCTGTTTATTTTGACATTAAATATAATGACAAGTGTTAAGAGTTTGTTCTGTTTTTGTTGTATTCTGTTCCCTTTTTTTCAAAAGCTCTGTCTAACAAAGTTTTTAACGAGTCTTTATATATGAATATTTTAGGTGACCTCTGTGTGTGCACAAGTTACTGTATATGGGGCATTCGTAAAAAGTGCGGTCCCACAACAAGAAAAACAATTTAACAAAACAATTAAGTATTCAGGCATAGATATTTACTAATAATATGTTGTGGTCTATTTAAACACAAGGCATTACATTATATAGTGATAAGCTTAATATATACAAAAACATCATTTATAGGGTACTTTCTATTTAGCTGTCCCCAACCCTGACATCTACATTTCAATTTCTGTAAATAACACTTAATTTTTTTTTTAAAGTTTTGTTCAATGGTGTATTTAGAAGATCTTTATGAGTACATTCAAACAGAAGTTGGAATATTTAGATTTATTGTGGGTATCATTTTTTAATAAAAAAACTGTACTCAAAAAATCATGTCCCCAGTTTTCATGTCACTACCGAAACACAAGGGGTTTTAGTCCAATGGCTGAGCCTGTTTTTTAGCCACACCCCTGCATTGTTGACAAGGCAGTGACACTGCATCCCTGTCCCTCATGGCTGAATGGCAAGTAGCTATATCCCATACTTTTGATATAAATCTGTTCCAAAATCTGAAAATCGGCGTGTAACCTTAAGAATTGTCACTACCGAACACATAATAGCTGCGTACTTTGCCGTACTTAGTGCCGGCACTTAGTGCCCCGGCACTTAGTACCCCAGGGCACTAAGTACAGATCGCGTTCACACCGGAATAAGTTCCCTGAGGGAAGATTACGCAAATGAGCCGCTGACGTCACTTCGTCTTCTTCTGCTTTGGGTTTACTGGCAGGCCACAAACCACTTCACGGCGAGTACAGTAGGTGGCGGTATGCACCTTAAAGTTGTTTGCAATCCACTAAAAAACCAAGAGAAGAAGAAGAAGAAAAACTTCCCATGTATACTGCCACGCCCACCCACCCGCTGCACATTAGGCGTCTGTTTACCTTCCGACCTCAGACATGATGGAGATGGAGTCGACTGAAGTTGTGCTGTTGTGCTCATGTTATACAGCTTTGTAACTGAGTTATTGCAGCCTGAGCCTGAGCCAACTCGGCCTTCGACACAAATCCGGAGCCGCCACCCGTTGGATGCTATAATTGCAAAGCTGGTTCAGCATCAAAGGCGGTTAAAAAGCCTTAACCTCTTAAGCCCTGAGCCTGTTTTTCAGGTCTGAGGCTCGAAAATGACATTCCCAGAACAAATGACCATATCTTCCCTTCTAAAATGGTTAAATTAATAATCTTTATTCTCAAAGTAATGATAAACCTGTGAATTGGATGTAGAAAAGTCAGAATCAATATAGATGTTTTTTATTTTAAAGAAAATTCAGATTTTACATAGTAAAAAACTGTAAATTATAGTGTCCGTCCAAAAAGAATTTTTTACTTATAGTGAAAACTACCCTTGGATGATGGGTTAGTAGACTAAAAGCTTTAGGAATCCAAAGTACAACTTATAATAAGTACCCTGTATCAAGATTGATGCAAAACAAGTGAAATTTGACCTTTTTAGAGAGATTTTGCCAAAAACCCCCACTTCTGGGGTCATTTGGGTGGATTTGACCTATCTCTGGCCCCCCCTTGCTCGATTTTGATGAATGAAATCTCTTTATAACCGCTAGAGCCAATGGAATCGAGGGAAAGTTATATACACACCAAAACGTTAACAAATAAGGAGTGAGAGTGACGCGTTACCAAAACCGGAAGCTGCATATACTCTGGTGGCTACCATTAGCAGCTAACTTTTCCGCTCCGATTTTTACATAAAAAATGCAATTATGGATTATAAATAATTTCTTCAAAGGCACAGGTACATTATTGTAGCATTTTTTTTCTTTCGTTTTAATGCCATTGAACACGTCTTTTGACCTAATTGACAGCTACGGTGAGACGATCTGCCGTAAAAGCTCCGTAAAGGTACGTGTTGTGATGTCTGTGTTTGCTTCCCCTGTCGCAAGTTCGGATCGCTCAGTGATGATACTATACCTAAATAATCAGTGGAGTCTCAGCTTTAATCGGCTATATTGTATGTGCAGCTACGATAAGTAATAAGGGTATTTTTATCTTGAATTGTGTGCCGCAGTGCGTTAGAATTTTTTCGCTCAGGGGTCATTTTGACGCTTCTTATGAGACTTGTGTTTTGTTTTGGTAAAAATGGTTCATATCTTCAGTTAGCTGAGATTCTTCCCGTTAATCTGGTGCTACACATTAATAGTTTCATAAATGTTAAGAAGCCCTGAGACATTATCTTGAAAAATAAACGGTGGGAGGGGTCCAATGGGTGCCGTGCTTAAGAGGTTAAGAAAAGGATTGGACGACGAAAAGCACGCAGTATGGCCATGTTTCACCGTAGGATGGCTGATGACGATGAGCGTTTTCACGCCCTAAGAACAGCAATGGTAAGTTCAGTAAATCACAATTATTAATACTATCTAATGTAGGATTTGTGGAGTTATATAGAGCTAATTTGTGCCTTTGTATGTGTTCCAGCTATGCGAATACTACGGAACGCTTCGTGTCCCGCGCTCTCTCTGGGTGAACAATAGAACATCGGCCTGGTGGGAGAAGGTGGTGCCAACGTACACCGATGTGCAGTGGATCAAAGATTTCCGAATGTCCAAGCACTCTTTCCAATACCTCTGTAGTTGCCTGGAAGCAACGTTGGGGAGAAGTGACACCAACTTCCGGGAGTGTGTCCCTGTGCCTAAAAAAATCGCCATAGCACTGTGGAAACCTGCGACCAACTCTGAGTACAGGACCATCTCTCATTTGTTTGGAGTCGGCAGATCTATGGTGTGTTACTGTGTGCACGAGTTCTGCTCCTCTGTTGTGAGCCTACTCCTTCCTGAGTTCATGCCATGGCCGAATCCAGAGAGAAACACCTCGCCTGAAACACACGATTAGTGCCATGACTTAGTGAAGCAAATTACAGAACATTGCACACTTATTCACAAGTCAAAACGTGTTCATAGCGGGCACGGCTCAGAATAGCTAGCTAGCTAGATGTTGTTAGCCAGCTTGGACCTATGATAGCAAGTTCTAGCATGGCTAGCTCGATCTACTGAGCAAATAAAAGTACATGTAAGACCAGTATTGTGCAGATTAAAACAGTGCAGTGCATGTATTTTATTTTACCTTCGTAGTCGTCCCGACATGACTTGCTGAGCCACGGAAACTGCATTCAGTAGAAGCTTCTGAATGCGGCGCTTCGCGTCCTCCGAGTAAATCGCCAGAAGCGCCGACACATCCTCATCACTCCACCGCTCCGATGATTTATTTAGTGTTGCTATAATAACTGCTTTCACAAAAGTAATCCCTTCGGGTGCGCTGCCCGAAGCGAGCAAATACAATGGCCGCTTACAAAAAAAAATTCAGAGTCAAACGGGCGTGGTTTGCATTCCGCACAGCCAATCAGACGTATGAACTATTTTCTCCCACGAGAGTCCCTGCTCTCTAGCAGGGACTGAAAAGCGGGTCAGATGAACTAATTTGAACTACTTTAGTTCCTGGGGCTTTTTGGTGTGAACGCAAATATATCGTAGTTCTGATTAACTATTGTGGGAAAAGTACTCCGGTGTGAACGCGCCTATAGAGGCTCTCGGCGTAGGTTTGTTGTCGCTGGGTCCGAGCCTCTCTCCAGCTGGTACTGCGCGCGCACCGTCCCTGACTCGCTACGTCATCACAACAAACCTCGCACGTGCATTGGCAATCTGAAGGCCCTGGTCTGTGTTGACAGTGTCATTCTGCTCACACCGCCAGCTTCCAGTAGCAACGCCCCCACATTCATGCTGCTGAATACCCGTTCCCTCAATAATAAAGCACCACTCATTCATGACATCATCACTGACAGGAAAACTGACTTTGTTTGCCTAACGGAGACTTGGCAAAATCAACAAGACTTTTTCACCTTAAACCAAGCCACACCCCCAGGCTATGTTTACCTGCAGAAGCCCCGCTCCCTGGGTCGGGGTGGTGGGCTGGCTGTTATCCACAGAGCAGAAATCCCGATAAAACAACTCCCTGTTGTAAATACAACCTCATTTGAGTGTATTGCCTTTTCTTTGGCCGGCTCATCACAGCTACAGGTTGTCCTCATATACCGCCCCCCAAAGCCTCTGCCATCTTCATGTCTGAGTTCGCTGAGCTGCTCACCTC